CTGTATGTGAGACAGCCTGCTTTGCAAGCAGTCAGACTACACACCACTTTAAGAGGTTCTGTCTGATGAAAGAAGGAAAGGTGAAGGGACTAAAAGCCTTCCTCCCATTTAGACCAATCCCTGTGCATGACATGCAGGCTGCCCCAGGCTTCTGCTGCCCCAAGCTAGCCTCACCAACCCTCTGCACCTTGCACAGCACCGATGACAACACATCTGCATTAGAACTCTACAGGCCTGATTTGCATTTCTATTTTCTCTTGCCAGTCAACATCAGCTGCCAAAGCAGGGTCTGTAAACCTAATTACACCCCTTTGCTAGATTGCCTCATTCTTGAAACATGCCATGAAGTAATATGTGATACAAATTACTGTGAAGAGGGGGATGAAGGCATGCAAAAAGGAAATTAATATATATAAAATGTAATCAATTTTCAGAATAATTTATAACAGACACTAGTATAGTTTACTATATTTAATTTCTAAAAACATTACAAATGGATTCTATTCATATATTGTGGGAGATCTTAGCTACTGGGGAGTGCACAGGGTAACAGTGTACATGTTATTTTTTTATGATACAGTCATCAGTGGTGAAGTAGGGCAGAGTTCCTAATTGAGCTGCGTATGCCAGCATGTTAAGCACAATTAAAACACACCATGGGATGTATCCTTGCCCAAGATGTAATGTCTCAATCCTGTAAAGATCTCCTTATTTCTTTTATCATGAGCAGTGCTCAGTCATTGTGTTGTTGACAACAGAGTGCAAAACAGAGAGCAGGTGCTCATATTTTTGCAGCATCAAGGCCAAAGGCAGAAGAAAATACTACTTTCTTCAATTTGTTCAAAGAGGACTGAAATAAAGAAGTTCTATTTGCTCACCTCATCTAAGTACTCAAGGACATGTCTAGACTTTGCCACTTGAGGGTCCCAGTGAAGTAGGTGTACAGCCCTAAGTACCGTATTGAGATAAAGGATGCTGCCAAATGTTGCATGGGAATTCTGTGCCGAAGTCAAGCCTTGACACCTGATCCGTAAAACCACTCAGCCTTGCTTCAGAGCACAGCAAGGGCTGCAGAGAGAAGAGACTTACAAAAAATTGCAGGGGAGAGATTTTGTCTTTCTTTTGCTTGTTTTAGAAGAATCATTTGACAGGCAGCTTGTCAAAATGTAACTTACAAGGATGACACATATACAACAGCACACTGAAATCAGGGAGAGCTACATTGCAGAATCCCTTGTGCAGCTGGAAGGTACAACTGCACGCTCCTCTTCACTTTTCACTACCCCAGTGCTGGTACATTTGCTTTCTGTAGCAGAGCCAGGGAGGAAGCCAGGCTATGAGTGGATGTTGCTGGGGTGAGCGGGGCAACGTACCGTTCAGCTGCTGGCACACGGCCACTTGGCTTGGCTTCAGCACAAACTGGCACTGCAGCTCCTGGGGCAGCTGCTCCGTCAGGAAAGACTCCTGAAGCTGCCTGGGGCAGGCACAGTGCTTTGATCCATGGGGCATAGCGTCGCGAATGTGGCTCATTTTAATTCCAAAGGGATATTCATGTCCTGTTCAAAGAGAAATCATAATAATCTGTGTTAGATTGACTGGAGACTTGCAAAACTCCATCTGCCCTGGATGGAGCAGATTTTGCTTGCTGGCCTGCAGCACTTTCTCCCTCCATAATCTAAGAATTGACACTTTTCTCCATATTTACACAGACACAAATCATACACTGGCAGATAGGGAGTTACTGTGTTTGGTGTAGTTAAGCAGATGTAAAAGTAAAATCAGACCTATTGCAGCTGTATCACATAAAAGCCCATCAGAAAATGCAGATGTTTACTATTTCTACTGCTTTCCTTGTAGCACTGAAAGTTTGGGTATTGATTGCTTGTACCATTCTGGAGAGAAATGAGACTTTGGGAGCAGTCATTTTTGCTAAGCATGCAAAACCCCCAAAAAATCCAGTGTGAAAGTGATCTTCCTTCCTTCTCCGTGTTAAGTGCAACAGCCATCAAGTCAGTCAAACGAGATACAATTACGGTTCTCATCTGAGGCTGAAACAGGAAGGAAACGTTAATCACAAGGCTAATGCAAATGAGCTACACTTGGCTTTAACCAGCATCTTTGGGGACTACACAGACACAATTCATTTCTGGAGGAGCTTTCAAAAATGCCACTGGAAATATGTTTTTCAGACTTCTCTAAAGACCTGGCAGATGAAATATATTAAATATGGACGCAGTGCTAAAATGTTTTAGTTAGCAGTTAGACTTGAGCACTGAGATTGGAAGAGACGTTATTTGAGATTACAGGTAGGATGAAGCTTTGGAACAGTCAAAACTCTGCTTCTGATGCCTACCTATGATAAAAGCTGGCCTTATCTAATAAACCTTTGCATAAATATCAAGAACAGCATCACTTTCATACTCCAAGGATTCTTCTTTTCCAAGGATTGTAACTTGAATTTGCAGTGAAAGTCAGTCGATTAGAAAGGCTTTACCATTTCTGAATTCTCTGGCTCTATGTTTAGAGCTGTGGCTGTGATTTGTTCTGAAGAAGATACACAATAATGGTCAGAAAGCCAAAGTCTGGTATGTTTCAAAGGCTAAACAGTTTGCACTACCTATAAGGTGCACAAGGTAGACCTTTTATAAATATTCATGTTGTCTGACTCCAGCGAAGCATTTGTAACTAAGGCTGCTTTGAGAAGGAATGCTAAGATTTACTGGGGTTAGATCTGCAAGAGGTAAAACCAGAAAATTCATAAGTTTTTCTTGTTATAATCATCTGCAAACTCATATAGCACAAGTAAAGCTGGGCTTCTACAGGGAAAGGTTCTTAATAATGGGAAGGGATTTTTCCTTAGTGAATCAAGGGCCAAAATCAAATCACTCCATCCAATCACTTTTGAGCTTTGGGTTGGTTCCTGAAGACAAAATGTTTTGAAAACCATTTTAGAAAGAGAATAAGCACTGATTCACTCCTAATCAGAGGGGAGCTGTCAGCCAGTACGAAAAACAGAGGATTGAAAAGGACTTCTTGAATCAATTAACTTGAGTTAACAACAGAACATTTCTCAAAACTCTGCTGAGTTTTACTGAGGAGGGAAGTAAACAATGCTATGGAGGTGTAGGAAGAAGTATGGTAAAGCTGGACAGCCTGAAGGATGATGCCCCCAGGAGGGGGTGAGTGGAGAGGCCAACTCTGCAGAAAGACTGGGGCTCATGCAGCAGAACTGGGGCAGAAATAAATGACCTTTTCCAACCTCTTAGTGACACAAGCTCTTCAAAACAAAGGATCAGCATCTGACTAGCTCCCCAAATAGGCAAACTTGTGTGACAGGGAAGTAAGAGAAAAAACAGGAAAAACAAAAGAGGAAACTGCATTTCAGTCTTCTCTGTATTTCTTGCTTCCTTCAGCACTAAAAGCTGAGTGAATATTGAAAAACAAAACAATGTCAAGAACTTACCAATAAGAGGGTAAGGAGCATGTTCTCTTCCTGAAATCACCCACAGCTTGTAATCTTTTTCAGAGCCCTTTAAAACCAAAATTAAGAATAAGTTTGCCAACCATTAAGGACAGGTTCATGTAAGGTTTCTCACAATGTAAGGATAATCTGCACCTTGTCAGCAGCATTTTGTTTGCAGTGCCTAAGTTTGCCACCAACCAGCAAAGTTTCTGAATTGGGTCTGTCCTGAGCAATCTGGTTATGTCACCAGGATTCAGCTCTGAACATTGAGAGGTGCTGGAGCCCATCATTTCTGAGGGTAAAGGGGGAGGTTTTCCCCAATTCTTTCAGTGCTCCTGGAAGCAGAGGGATGGATGTCTCAGCCCACTCTGCCCTGCAGCACTTAGCAGCATCCAGCACCGAGGAGAGACAGGTCTGATTCCCCAGAAGGATTACAGCTAAGCAGCAAAAGGAGGAGGAGGCCCTGCTGCAGGGCATGGGGCAGACAGGAGGCAGTTCCTGTGAGCTGAGGTCACCCTTCAGCTCCATCCTGAGTACCAGGGAAATCACACTCTCTGGGATGTGCTCTGCCACACAGGGATCCCCAAGCCTCACATCTGAGAACTCTGCTCCACCATCTCCCCAGCTTCTCTACATCCCCCTCAAGCAGGAGGAGCTCAGGCTTGTGAGCCTGTGACCCATGCTTAAAGGCAGGGCAGGACAACCTTCACCCAAGTCCTGAGCCCACTCTGATGATGCCAAGGCAAGGATGGCACCCATGGGGCTCCTGGCATTCAACGTTGCCCCAAAATCTCCCTGTAGGGCTGCTGTCAGCCCTTTTGAGCAGCCCTTTTCTGTGGAAGGGCTTGGGAGCACTGGAAGGTGTTTTCAGACTGCCGAGCCCTCTTTAAAATGTACAGTGGAGAGAATAAATTTACATCAAAGGAGACAATTTTCAAAATTATCATCTTTGTGAAAAGCTGTGTAAAACCTCTGATTTGAAAGCAAATTCAAAATATTGCCTTTAGCATAAATATAGAAGTCAGTGTTGCAATTTAATTGAAGAAAGAGAATAATACTTATTTCAGATATGATGGTGAGACAACAGAAGTAAAAGAATGACATTTAATATAAACCACACTCAGGACAAAAGGAAATAGCAAGTGGATAAACACACTGCATTAAAAGTGATCTATTTTACCTTAAATTACTTTTCAGTGATACTGCTAAATCAGAATAATTAAAATCTAAAAGTTTTCTGGCTACAAAGGTGGTAAATACCTCATGACAGTATCTATTTAGCTCCAAAGTTAAATCCTACCTCCTTTTAAACAATTTGCCTACTGTCCTGCATTGTCACCCAGTGTCCCCAAGGCTCTTGAGACTCTTCCTACTTGCTGCACATACCTGGTGTAATGTTGATACATCCAATAAAGCCTTTGCAGTTTGCTCTCTGACTGACAGAGCTTTTTGGCCCATATTAGCACTGCTGTTAAGTCAGCTAGCAGGGGGCAGAAGGAAAATAAATAGGCTTTGGAGACATCTCTGATGCGTCAGGGCAAGCAGCCAGGAGCAAATAAATACAGCTGAGGAGGACAGGAAAGGGTATTTGCTTTTCCTTTTACACATATATGTGAAAGGGATTGTTGCCATCAAGGGGAAGCAGGGGAAGGGAAAGAGCTAGTAAGTATGGCTTTCAGGAGGCAAACTGTTCATATCCCGACTGCAAATCCTGTCCTTTATGGGCTTTATGAGGCCATTTGTCAGTATAAATATGACTGTCCCAGAAAAGTCAGAAAGTGTAATTACAGAGCTGGGAAACCCAAGGCTCTTCTTTCTGCCCCACTTGATAATTTGGAACAGATGATCAATGCTATTTTGCATGAGCTAGTTGTCATTTTACCAGAGAAGCCACAGACGAAAAAACCCTGATGTGTTAAACCAGAGTGAACTCAGCCAAAGTAATAGCCTCATTAATCACATAATATGTGAAATGTAGTTTTTATAATTGCCATTGAAAAGTCATAAAGCTTCTTTCAAGTGGTCCTCTCTGGACACAAATAAAAAACCTCACATAAGGCAAAGCTTCCTCCCAGTCAGAACAATCGTACAAGGGGTTTGGGTGTTTGATTGATACCCAGGCTACAGCTTAATTTATTTAGCTTGTTTGATTTTATTGCTAATCTTATGATATGCCTATAATGAAAAAAGGCCTTATGCTCTAAAGAAGCAGTGAAAAAATGTAGTACATTACTTGGGCAAAAAATTCTGCAGGCAAGATTTTACATCTTTCAGATGGTTTTCCTTCTTTTTCCACTTGAAATAAAAATGTAAAGAGAAGGAAAAGGTTGATTGTAATACATACAAAAGAACATAATCCTGAAACCTAACCAGCTCCTCCTCCTGCTCATCTCAAAGTATTGTCTTTGAATACTACCATTTTCCTGTTTTTTCTGTACACAAAATGAGGAAGTGCAAATGACACCCATAAAATGGGTAAAAATGAAGCACATCACAATAAAGACTTGCAGTTGTAATATAGCATAGTCTCCTGATTTTTCTTGCAGACAATCTGCAATTAAAATCCTAATTTTAACTCACATCTTATCCTTTTCACCTTGCAACCCCCTCCATGAACTCCAGCTTCCTTAATTGAATAGACTACTGGATTCTAAGCTCAGGCCAGAGCCCCAGCCCTGGTGGAAATGGGATGTCTGAGAAATAACAAGGTGGGTAGACAGAAATTGCTGTGCCTGAGAAATGCCAAGCTAGCAGAATAGATCCCTGTATTAAAAGCCTGTATAAATTAGGGATAATGGATGTTAGTGAATACTAATCCTGAGGTTACTCCAACTTTTGCTGTGAATGTCCAGAAGCCGCAGGGAAGCACAAGAGTGGCACTTTACTCATATTTAACTCTTCACACCCAAGGCTGTGGTAAGGAAAGACTTGACAGATTCTATGCAATGAGATCAACACATGCATCAAGAGTAAGACATTTAAAAAACTCTTATTACCCAAACAGCAGACTGGCAGGCCAGCTAAAAAGCTGTCATCCAGGATCTTCTATGTGATCACTGGTGTTGGTTGGAGCCACATTGTGAAACAGAATAAGGGAGCCAGAATTCTGCCCTTGGCATTGATTCACTGTTACACCTGAGGCACTACTTGGTCTGATTTAGAGCAAAGGAAGTACAGCTGAGGCAGTACTTGATATTGTAGGGATCGCTGCATTTATTTGGTACTACCCTGCATTACCATAAGTCCTGTAAAAGCCTTCTTCCAAAACAGTTTCAGGACATTACTTGAATTGGGCACATTCAGATCTTATGCATTCAGATTCAGAGTGGGTGCATTCAGACTCTGTGCATTCAGATTCCCTGCATCACTGTAAATCCTGTAAAAGCCTTTTTCCAAAACAGTTTCAGGACATTGCTTAAATTGGGTGCATTCAGATTTCGTGCAATCACTTAGTTACATTCTTGTCTTACATAACTCTAAAGGTCCATGGGTATTTAAAGTACCTGATTCAGACACTTGAGAGCAGTGCTTGTACTTGCTATCTGGGGACACAGCTGATGATGCATGTTTGCACATTTTGAAAACAACTAACAGACAAGTCAGTAGGTTTCCTGTTCACACTGAAGCATGCAAAAGGAGCTCTACCAAACTCTCAGTTCTTGTGTCTAGATGTCTCCTCTTACGCTTCAGCAAAACAGATTTAAAAGCAACTTGAAACATGACTGATCCCTTACAGGGACGAGAGACCTACTCAAAACTTTTAAAGCACTTGTTAATCTCTGGAGGTCTATATATTAAGAAGGCACTTCTGCCGCACTTCAATAACTCTGAATTGCTATCTTAAAGGCTTTAATTAATGTTCATATCCTAAAACTTGGAAATAGTGCAAGGCAAGATCTGACTGTTATAAGAGACTGCAAAAAAAGACTCATTAAAACTGGTGCAAGGACTTACATTAATTCCCAGCTGCTGCAGGGCCATCAGAATTACATCATTTGCTGTATCAACATTGGTTACACTTAGGGTTTTTGACTGTGAACAGAAAAAAGGAGAAGGGGAAAGTGTCATTAAAAATTTGGATTTGCAAAGAGTATCTGAGGTGCAGTAGCTCTGCATAATTCATTGTTGGAAAAATTGAGAATATCCTGTTAAAATTTTACTTATTAAATAAATTATACCACATAGATAAAGGTCCAGCTGTTTGAGATCAAGGTTTGATTTCCTCTGCTTTGTCACATACTTTCTGTATTTGCTCCCTGCTTCCCTAGCAGCTCCATCAGAAGAGAGAGTGCCATGATTACTGGGGACATGACTTCCACATTAAAATATGCAAAAAGACAGGACTACTAACTGCACTTTAGACACTGCATAAGGGGAACACAATGGTTTGATTAATTTAAAAGCACACAAGTTTCCTTTGAAAAAAATTAAACATTTCAGTGAGTTTTTTCAGTGAAATATCAATTGTCAATAATTTCTGTCCTTTTCAACTGAAATTCTCCCTGGCAAGAAAATATTGTAAACAGGCCATTCATCTCTAGTACCTTTGCTACATTCTATATAAATTTCTCAGAGCTAGATCTGGCTCAGTACCAGAAGCACTTCCTCTTGGTAATCTTTCATCCAATTAAAATGGTACCTCTCCAGCAGCCTCCAGAATCTGCTGATGGGCAGTATGGAAACGCATGGAGCAGCAGAGATACCACTTTCAAAATAGTTATGGTGACCAGCATGGAGTGCCAAGCTTTGGTTGGTGAAAGTGCTGCTTTCCACAGGGCAGTCTTTCCAGAGTGAGATTTCAGCATCTGCTGCCTGGAACCAGTATTCCTCCAGTACTGCTGTGCAATGCTCTGTACCTCAGCTCCATGGATTGCTCTTATGCATCGAACACACTAGGATTAATGACTCTATCCTCAGCCCTGCTGGAATGTGGCAGCACCACTGCCTTCACATTGCAGAGGCAAAAACAAGTGGTGAACATGTGTCCAGAGTGGTTTTTGCTTGGAGCATCATACCCATGCTGGTCTCACTTCCAAGCTAACAGGCAACTCCCACACACCAAGCACCAAGTTACTAAGCCCTCTTTAGAGGCTTGGCTCCACCAACAGCACTACACAACTTTTGGATTGCAGCTGGTTCCTGGCCAGACTAAAGTCTTGGCAGAACAAAGGCATGCCCACTGCAACAAACCACCCAGGCATATCCCAAACAAGGGAAGGTGGCAGAGCTGCGATGTAGATGTTCACTGCCAGTCCCAAGATAGTTTGCAATACACTGATACCTTCTGCAGTATATCAATTTTATGCTGGCCATAAGGTGTTCAGGTGAAACAACCCCCTGACATTTTGCATTTAGAAAAGATCTGAGCTGTACATTTGTGTAGGTTCCTGACGGTTACAAGCTGCTATGGCAATGAAAGGAAAGTAGTGAGAATACTGTATATCTTGCTTCAGGACATATCTGAACGCTCATACCATAAAAAATTTAACATTTGCCTGAAGCAATGACATCTGGCTCTCAGGAGTAGGTCAGCACATTTGCATAAGTTTTGCTCTTGGCTAGAATATAATAAAATGGTTTGTGCCTTGTGTTCAGCCTTCCTTACTGTCCAAAACCAAAATAATTCTTAGGCATCTCCAGCCGCTATAGCAGGAACCACAGTGCAATAAGAAGTGTTTGCATCACAGAATTTCTATCTGTTCCTCCTCTGTTTTATTACTGATAATATCCAGACTATAGTGTGTCATTTCTAGGACTGTGAGGATCAGGAGACCATATCTGGCATATGAGATAATTACAGCTAAGGAGAAAAGGCATTTAAAAAAACCCCAACAAACCCTGGTACAAGACTGCAATCCGAGAGCATGTATGATTTATAGACTTTTACACCTGAGCAGACCTTGATCTGCAGTCTTGCATTTGAACTTCACAATTTTTGGTATTGTTTATTAATTTTTATCTTAGCCACCTCGAAATTATGTTATTGTTTAATTATTATTTTCTGAAAAAAAGGCAGACTCCTTTATGCTTTCATCTATCCAAATACAGAATTCTAAGTGGAGATTCACCGTTGGGCAAAGACCTCCAATGAAATCTAATTTCTGTCAAAATTTCTCATTCCCTTGCACATGCTCCTTGGAGTTCTGAGCTTGAAATACAGATGTTACAAGAAAGAAAAGACAAATGTAGAAGAAGCAAAGGAAGAATGGATGGATTATCACTGAATGCTAGGGTATCCCTATGGAATTGGCTACATGCAAGAATTTATTTTAAATTGGTTAATAATTACTTAGTCAAAAAGGTGCAAATCACCCTGTGAATGACCTTTTTTACTATTTATACTTTGCCTATAAATTTACCAGCATCAATTAGTTGATGAAAAACATGCTTAAGGCAATTTCAGGGTGTTACACACTGCTTTCCTGACTTAAGATGGCTATAAACAATAACACACGCTGCAGCTTCGCAGAATTGAATGAAGGCAGTTGTGGGTTTAGATAAGATTTACAAGCAAAAAAAGGGTATGTTGTGCTGGTATTTCTGAAGATGCTTACTCGTAAGTTCCACTAGAGGTGTTTCTTGGGACTTCACACTGTACAGTCTTTAGTTTGTATGCCAGGACCATTATTTCTTACCAAGCACAGTGTCTTTAAAATGAAGTCATGTATTAAACACAGGGCACAAACATTTCAGGGCTGCGTATGCCAAGTCTTTTCAAGGGACTAAATCCTTAAAGGAGATTGCAAACCAAAGGAACCCTTTCAATATCCAAAGGATTTGCAGGTCACTAGCACTCATAGGTGATGTGGATTTAGACCCCTATTTAACTCAAGAGCACTTACATATGCACAAGTTCCCACGTCTTTTGCAATTATCGTCACAGGAATCCTTTTAGGATTGTCTTTTTCCTTCTCTTCTCTTATTCGACTGACAAAACAAGTACAAAACAAGTAAATTTTTAATATTGCAAATATAAATAGCAAGACATTTAAATAGCAATCAAGCAGTAACTGGATAAGAAGCAGACTGTTTGCAGATGTACTGCAGTAGAAAGATCTCTAAAGAAAAGAAAGCATCCAGCAGCAGCATCTGGAAGGGATGCCAGTTGTCGTCCCCAGTAATGCCCTGTTGTATCGAAGTTCATTGTAGAAATCAGAGTAATCAGCAGAGAAAGTGAACAGAAAAAAATCAAGCTAAAACTACCCATCATTGTGATGCCTCAGTCTACACTAAAAGCTCCTACTGGAATCAGTTACCTCAGTACAGACTAGTTCAAAGGACTGAACAGGAGAAGGGTGAACTGGAAATCAGCCCAGTAAGAATGATTTAAACAATCCAGGAACTCTGAAGAATCAGATCAAGACAGAAACCTCAACCAGAAGAACTGGTGACCAGAAAACAGAACTATCACTAATAGCTTTCTGTCCAGACACCGAATGACGTAAGACAGCTCTATTTAGACAAACCCTCCCACCACATCCTCCAGCTTGGGGTATGTTCTGTAAGACCAAAATATAGCTGGCCATGAGCAGCAGACAGGTTAGAGCAGAGGTCCTGAGCTGGGCTTGCTTAGCTGCCATCACCATGGAAAGAGCTCCAGGCTCAACTAGAGCAACAGTGGCATTGGGAAGGAACAATGTGTATTAGGAATTGCTCTGGTTTTGTGCTGAGCAAGGAAAGCAATTCCCTCCTTGCACAGTGATGGATGCATAAAAGGCATGCACCATCTTCTGCAGGGAGAAGACAAGATTTTTCTTTTCCTTAATAGCACTTGGAAAGAGCTCATCTATCCTGATGGCATAGGCATCACAGCTTGGGAACCACTGGTCTAGAATGGGACTCTTTTCAATGTCTTTAAAGACCATACAAAAAAAGTACCTTTGCAAAAAAGAGAGCCATGTCTCCTTTTGTTCTGCAGACCTGAAAATTAAAACAAAGCAGGGACAAATCAACAATCATTCTAATACCAAAATAGTCCTCGTACAAACCACAATGGAATGGACTGTTTATTGGCTGGAATTTTATAAATACCTACAAAAACTAAAAGATTTATCCAGATTTGAATGAAAAGTCTGCTTCCCTGCAAAGTCAACTGAAAAGCCTGCCCATGGAGACCAAAAGCCCCAGTTACCAGTTTTTGTCACAGAATTCAAAGCTTTACCAATGAATTCAGCAGGAAAACCATTGACTTCTTAAACTAGTGTCCAAATAGAAGAGGAGGGCACTTTAAAATAAGAGGTTAATTCAAAAGTTTAAAGGTATTTCCTCAGGTACACAGAATTCTTTCCACTTTCACTATTCTAATTATCTTCTTATGTATTAGTTGTTTTGTCAGCACATCACAAAGTACACATAAGCCCATTGTGCTTAGTAGGGTTTAACTTTGGACATTTTAAGGCTTATCTCATTTATCTTTACCTCATTTATACCCTTTCAAGGATATAAAGCTGTCCAGTTAAATGTAGCTAATAATAGGACTGTTCAAGGAATCTAACCTAATTTTGATTCAACTTTCTTGATTTAAATCCTGTCCCAGATGGAGTAACTGCTATTCCCACTGCTGCTTTTGTAAATCAAGTTCTTCAAATTTTCAGAGAAGGCATTTAGGGAACTACAAACCTTCTGAATGATGCTGTGAGGGAAATGCTACAAATGTAAATGCTACAAATATGACTCTGCTTTGGCTGTTTCAGTTATGTTGGACAGGCATCTACGGACTCACCCATGCCCTTTTAGATTTTTCAGTGTACCTCCAGACATGAAATAATTTCACTGCTATAAAATCTCTGACTCTTTCTTGATTGAGGCTATTGCTTTCCTATTCAACTACTTTCTGATATCTATAAAGGATCACATACTTTCTCTAGATCAAAGTTCATGTTTAGTGGCAAGAGTTCAACTGAAAATCAATAGAAAATTTCATCTTTGTTTCAGGGTTATTAAGTGTAAAAAACATAAACAGCACAACCATCTCAATAGAGTGCAGTTTGTACACAGCATTCTCTTTGGCTAAGGACAATGTGACATAGAAATTAGGCTGGATACTTCAGCTTTTGCTCTCTGTTGATAAAGAAGAAAATGCATTTTCCAAGACTCAGGCAAATTACCGTGGCTAAGCAGCTGGGATTTCAGGGGGATGTGCCCTCCCTCCTCCAAAGTGACGACACAGCCCTCCTGCTGAGACTAAAATTAGTCTAATCACTGAAATTACCTCTACAGCCCTTATGTGTACTACAGTCAATGCTGCAAAGACAGATGAAAAATCTTTCTATTAAAATTCAGAGATTCTGCCTTAAGAGTAATTTTGACATTTTCTCTGGCACAATTAAATTGAACAGATAAATAGGACAAGGTCAGTATTTCACTGTATGTTTCCTGCTATTTCCGATACATGCTCTTCTGTTTAAAACTGTCTTATCAGAGTCTCTTTGATCCTTTCATTAGCTTGTCTGTTTAATATTTGTAGTTCATCTTGTTAATTAGCCAAGGTGTTCATCAAGTTATACCAAAAAAAAAAAAAGATAATTTCCACTGAGCAAGTTTGCAGCACAGACAGTGCTTTGCCAAGTTACATATTTTCTCAATTTTTAAAATTATAAGAAAGTACCATTGTCCCATTTGCAGGGAGACAGAAGATGAGGTGTGGAGAGTGACTTGCTCACAGTAGTAGAAGGAATTGGTTTAACAATCAGCAAGTTGCTGCACCCCACATTCACTGGTGTTGAAATGAATCTGTGATAATCTCACTACCTGCCAGCCTAAAACCATTTAAGTAACTTGCTAAATAAAACATATCTCAATTCTTACCTGAAATTTGCCACGCAGTTTGTGGTGGGCCAGCCCAAAACAAAGGACCTCTCTGGGTCTGTGCTGCCTTCACAGACTTCTTCTGTACAAAATGCTGTCCACATCTCACAGAGACGTGCTTGGCACTTTAGTTTGAAATGAGAGTGTGACCTGCAGGCAGAAAATCATAGGTAAGTCACACACATAAAAACATAGCAAGACAGATTAAACAACTAGAGATTTTTCTTCCTTCAGGCACATGTAAAGCTTGTATTGGAGCTGATAGAAGAAACTCTTCTGCTTCAGTTAAAGAAAACAATGTTTTATTGGGTTACATGTAAAAACATATCAATTTCTTATTTGAATGGGATCAACAGACCTCTTATTTGTGGAATAAACAGATTGCTTGTGGCACCCCTGGGAATCACCCTTCTTGGGGGAAAACTTCCGTTCATATCTAGAGTTCTTCTCCAAATCTCACCACGAGGCAAAGATTGCCACTTGTACTTGAGTCTCCTTTCAGTGACTTTAATGCTATTGAGGAGTTTATAATACAGTTCTATTGCTTAGCCCCAGGGTCAAAAACTATGATGAGTTTAAGTAGTGACAACTAGGTCAGGGCAAATGAAGCAATCCTGAAGAAAGAACAAGCAGAAAACTGTCATCTGTGTTAACTACAGCACAGGTCACCATACAGCCTCCACGAACTAGCTGCATAGTAGCTTTAGGTCCACATCACTTGGAGAATGAGCCAGAACTTTGTGCATTCTCAAAATATTCGCTCATCTATAAGGAAGATACAAAATTTCCCCAATTTTTAAAAATTTGGCCCTTCCTGTGTTTTATCCCACTAAACAATAAAGGTCAAATTTACACAATTTCATATTTTAATTTCAACTCTTTCTTCCCCCTAATTTCTCATTATAAGTCTCCTTCCTTTGTAGGATTGGTGAGCGCTAGTGTTATGTGAGAAACAAGTAAAAACTCAAAGTCAATGCAGCTCTGTAGCACTGCAAAAGCCGCTCACTTCAAGCCTTGCAGTCGGAATTACCTGAGCTATGGTTCTCCTGGGCCAGCAGGGAAAGGCTGGAGGAAAAGTGTTCCCTACCTGAAACCGAGGGGACATGCAAGCAAGAGCATATCAGCTCACCACTGTGTTGCAAACATGATGGGGACAGTGCCAGGCACCGTGGTGATTAGGGCTCTATAAATAAATATGCCACGTAAGCAGTTTCCTAGAGCTTTGATACACATGGGCTACCTTCTCTGAGATTAGTCTCATTTACAAGGTATTTGACTTAGAACAGACTGAACTAATACACTCGGAAACACAAAAGTACTTGAACCTTGTGGCTTTCGAGAGGACATAGGTGAACTTGCAGTCAGCTGAACCCTGACTGTCTGAGGTTTCCAGCTGACATTGTACTAACATGTATGGCGAAATGGTGTGCAGCAATGCTCGCAGTGTTGGGCAAGAAAGGGCTGTCGGTGTATATCAAATCTGGTAAAAAGATACATTTCAATTTGATTGTCATAAAATACTGTAAAATACCATCTGAAGTTCCTGTATTTTTTAAACTAAAAGCTAAACACTATGTTCAGCTAAACTAAGATCATAGTGTTTCCTGATCAGCTGAACATTTCACCTTTCTTCACTATATTATGTTCTGCTACCCAATCAAAGACAAACTTAAAGTACAGGAGAATGTTTCAGCATGCTTGTTAAAAATTAGTTTATGATGCAACAAGTAAGGTCTGTCAAGAATACAAAACTAACTGTATTCTGACTGACCACAGAATGAACTGTGAAAACGTAGATTTACAAAAAATACAGCTGTGAATTCTAATGTAGATGTTAATAAATGGATGTCCGGTCTTACGCCACCGAATCAATCTTTTGACCCTCCCTTTCTCCTTAACTTTCTTTTCCCATTACCCAGTACAGTGAACACTCTACATGCTGTTTCACTTTTTTAACATTTACAGTTCGTAAAGCCAGATCCCTACAGTGCCAGTAGCAGGTGTCAGCAGGGTGTTGGCAGAAGCACAAGGATGTTCTCCAATCATGCTTGATGTATGTTCTTACCCTTTTTGCCATGCCTAGTCACAGCTTTCAGCTATTATCAGTATTCAAGTGGCCTGGTTTCCAGAGGCACTGAAACAGTAGCCTTCATTAACATCTAAAGAGCCTGAAGTATATTTTTATCCCTATCTGCCATGTCCCTTATGGAATCCATGGGTTCTCAGTATTTGTGAAAAGTGGGCCTTCTACTTAAGTGCCAGAGCATTACCTCTAAAAATGAATATATCATTGCTGACTAAGGAAGTAGCATGACTGAATGTTTTAAAAATGGCCAGACTAAAATCTAATTCATATTGTATATATTTTTAAGGAAGTCCCTTAGCAAACGTTACTGTAAACATCAGGCAGATCTCAAGTCCACTGAAATCAACAGAAAAATCATGAACATCAATGGTGTCAGTATTGATGCACTCCATGCAGGGCACTTGCAGTTCCTTTTGCTTGCAACTGGATACTTTGCAACCAATAACAGATGGAAGATTAACTTCTCACTGGATTTGCTAATCTCCTTAATAGGACCCTCTGACAAAAGCATTAATGGATCTACTGTGAGACTGCTACCATAATTCCATGTATGCACTCAACCATTAATTTCTATGTCCAGACATGTTGCGAAAATAACCTTAAAAGGCACGTGTATATACACAGGTGCATATTACAAAGGAGAAAGAGGAAATCATTTCTCTGTGCCTTCCACACAAAACTTTACATAAGAAACCTTCATAATTGAATTGACAGATCCTTGAAGTATTTACTCTGCCAAATAAAAACACATGCTCTCTGTAAGAAATCTAATCAATATACAGAAAAGAGTATATAATATTTTACATAGATAACTTTGATTTAGTGAGAAAAACTCTTTCAATCAATTCATTTGTGACTTAATCCCCACATGAAGGCAGTGAAGGACAGGGCAGCAGAGGAGCACAACATGTGAGTATTATTCTTATTTTTTATAAGCTGGTATAATGCACGATCAGAAAACATAACAGCCTACATTTCAGAAATCATTAGAAAGTAGCAAAAAATGAACCTAGAGGCCCCTTGTCCAAAGTCATACATGGACCAGTTGTGGAGAGGACTTACCCCTCACAAATTTCCATGGGAGCAATGCCAATTGGCTGCCTTTAAGCAGGAGCTCAGTGCTATATAGTACTTTACTCAGCAAGCTCAGAGGACACAAGATACTTGTTGCTCTCTTTAGGAAAAACTTGTACCTGTTTGCTGATCATACGAAGACTAATTATACATGAGCTCCCTTTGTACAGTTACTGGCTACCTGCAGCTGAGCTGACACAAGCACAGCACTGAGCTGTACTGAAGATAATGTAGGGGTTCATGTGCCTCAAGCCAAAAAACTACTTAAGACAAAAAGAGTATTACAAATTTTTAGCACTTTCACAAGGAATAATTCTGAAGTTAAGTCAGATTCAACTGCATCATTAACTCTGTCCTGGTCTGACTGCTTTGACTCTGCACCAGGCTGTTAAAAAGTCAATAGCAATCAACAGTCACGGCCACATAACAATACATGTGCTCAGGTCTTCCTTCTAGGAACCAACACTGGTAAGACAGCTTTAAAAATGCTGATTTTTAAGTAGTATTCATTAGTGACAGCTCTGATGCTTTAATTGCTGACAGAGCAGCTGTAAAGAGAACATCCCAATTAGATCTTCAAAATACATGAAGTAATATCACTTAAAATACTATTTTTACCATTTCTAGCAAAGACTTGCCCCCCTTCCTTTTTCACATGCAAAAGCACAATTTGTTCTCTTCCCTCTTTTTCAAACATTGCAGTCTCTGCTCCACATTAAATCGCATGCTGCAAGAGCTGTTATTACTCCCTGGGGACCAGGGTTTTGTGCGGTTACACTGAGTAGTGCTTTCCTATGCAAATAGTCCCATTGGGACCCAGTCAAACCTGCAGTAATGTGCAGCTCAGCTTGGGGCTGTAACATAGCTTCTGCTCAGCATGCTGACCAGGGTGGGAGGGATTTACCCCTTCTGACTTCAGTCTTCTACAATTTAGGAGCTAAGCTATGCTGGATAGCCAGTACATGGAGTGAGAGACCCCGAAGAACCAGACTCTCCTCACCCACTATCGACACTCTTTCAGCTCCAGGTGAGTTTGCTGCACTAAGGTGCTGGTTTTGCCTCAGTGACTGTAAGAGGGGCCTAGAAACCTGGGTAAGTTGCAAATAATTCACGTTTTAAAGCTGAAATCAGGTGAGGTGAATTCCACTCTAAAGAAGCAACAAACATAAATCAATACAGTAACAATGTTGTTATTGCTACTGCTGGTAGAATAGCAAGATTTCCCCTAAATATCCTTACGTTCACCACCCACCCATAGTGGAACATGTTTTGTGTAAAACATCCTCTGTGTTGTCACACCACATCAAGTGAGGGAGTTCAGCTGGGAGGGTTATGTTTACCATGTGTGATTCAAACAGACACAGCTCAGATTTCTACAGAAAACACAGATTTCTTCTGGCTTTTCCCAGAAGCCCCTGAAACAATTGCTTAAGCGAAATGACACATTGCAAAAGCCCAGGATTCATACTGAGATTGCCCACCCTGTGAAACCACAACACAGTGCCTTACAGAGAGTGAAGCTACATCAGGATTTTTTATTATTATTTCCCCATAACCCATAACAACAAGTGAAAGCACCCTCTAAAACTGCCTTAAACCACAAATGCTGCATGAAGCTGGCATGCTAGACACAGCTTGTAAATGTGATTTAATTGTGAATGGTAGAGTGAATAATCAGAGCTCAGCAGCAAGCCTGATTACACATGAACAGTACCCAGACTGCCCAGCATCGCTTCCCCTTCCCCATGCACAGGACAAACTGCAGAGACATACACTGTAATGCCATCTGCAATCTCTATTTTCATACAGCTGCTCATCACTGATGTGTATCCAAAGCAGCTTCCAGGTAAGGGTTAAGACCTCTAACCTCACAAGTGGTGTTATGCACATCCCATGGGACTGAAGATGCCCTGTCTAAAACATGACAAGTTGAAGGTAGCACAACAGACATAGCCGAGCACCAGTGAGTCTTTTCTGTGACGCTGCACTCCCAGAGCAGAGAAGATTACACAGTGCAAGCAATACATCAAAGAACATCTGATACTTCCTTAAAATGTTGCATCCTGGAATTCCTCTATGGCTACGGGCCATACTCACTTGGACTTGGCAACAACCAGAATGTCTGTGAAGAGAAAAAGGTGTCGCTCCTGGGTTTGCAGACTCGTCTTCAGCTGCACATGGCCATCCAGGATGAACGTTCGGTTGTGGCATATGAAAGACTGCACAAGAGGCCATGCCTCTGGGCTGATGGGGGACAAGCAGCCTTCCCTGAAAAAGGAAATAAAATAAATGGGATAAAGAAAATCAAATCAGCCAGTTGCCTGTAAATTGAGAACCAGGCAGTGAATTCCCATATCTGCTGTCAAAAAGCAATTTATTTGACCACATTTCAGTGAAAGGTTAAAGGGACTAAGAGGATAATTCAGCAGTCAGATTCTGACAGAAAATCTATTAGGGACTGTATTCACTGAATCTTTTACAGCCTAACCACATCTAGCATTTAGCAAAGGACAATAATTTAGACATTTTATCTTTTTTTATTTGCTTCCCTTTGTATTGAAGTCTTAGACAAAATACTTCACCTTCTGTAGGCTCTCCAAAAAGAGAGGAGACATATGCATGATGAACAGATAACTGCACAACCACCTTGCTCAGAATAGGACTCATATTCAGGGTTAAAAGTGATTTATAGAAAGTATTCCAACCAAGGACAAACATAAGGTGTAACCGAACCTTGCTAGAGACAGACCATGTACTAGATGCAACATGAGACAAGGCTGCTCGGCCTTTCTCTCTCCCAGCATACAATCCACAAACATTGAAGTAAGCTCCTGTTGCAGGTTTTGGTTGTGTGACCAGAACTATGCTTGTCTAAGGCTGCTGGGTAATCCAAACCCAGGTCTATAGGGAAAAAAATCAGACTGTCTCCTGGAAGACACTGATCTTTCTAAGGAGGTATTGCAGAGTTTATAGCCCAAGGTGGAGACATGATTCTCTCAACCCCTCCTGTTCTCCATAAAGTAGTGGAATAGTTACTGAAGCAGAAATAGAGTTTCCCTAGCATGATGGTCAGCTCACTCACCCAGGATATCCCTCGTTTCTGAGTCTGGTTCTAACAAATGACTATTTATATGGAGCTGAAATGAATGAATGTGAGGGTCTGAGAGGATGACACTCCTCCTCTAGGGCTCACTAGATGCTTGTTGCAGGTCAGGCTCTCCCTTTGAAAGCCAGAGACATGGCTTTCAATTCTTACAGGAAAGTGCGAGAACTGAACCTGGGTCTCCTACACTCTGGTGGACCTTAAATAATGAATTTCTGGATTAAAACCAGGACCCATCAGTATCTTTACTCATGATTTTAAAATCCAACTTTCCAGTTACTTGCTTTCCCTAGAGATGCCTCCAAGTGAACCATTTCCCTTTGGTAAAATGGATCAGTTCAATTTTTATTAAAATGTATTATTTTTTCTTCTTAAAAAAAAAAAAATTAAGTTAACACTTGGCAGGATCAGCTTGGCAAGGACAGGCTGAAGTGAACAGCTTTGCAATCCTAGTTTATTCCTGGCCCCACTGGAATGAATGACAAACACCTAATGACTTTGCTGGAAGAAGAAATGGAGCTCATACAGTGAAAGTCACAAAACTAAATAGGAGGGAAATGAAAGAAAAAAAAAGTGAGCAGAGAAAACCTTCAAAGAAGGTCATAAACCTTCTTGTACCTCTCTTAGAGCCTAGATGACCCACAACCCTCCTCTCCTTTATACTTGTGGCTGGATTATGAAGGAAATTATTTAGGAAATCCTGACAGCTGGGAGGGAAAGGATAAGCTCTGAGATTGGCCTACATTAGCAGGACACACTTTCATTGATGTGTAAGGAGCCGGTAAGGATCTCTGCCTGCTGGGGAGATCCTTGTTTGGCCTTTCATTCCCCTTTCTGGCTGGGAATCTGAATTTTTGAAAGAATTCCTCAATTTATTTTGTCTTAAACTATGTCTTAATCATGTCTTTCATTACGTACCCCTTCAGGGGAGAGAGAAAGAAGCAGAAGGGGTGTTTAGGAGTGTGGAGGTTAAAGCAGAGAAAGGAGTTTTGGAAAGGATCATGTATCACTGCACAACAGTGATACACATGCTGTGTGGCCAGCAACAGGAATTAGGGGAACAACGAGCACCTCTTCTACCCTTCCACTTCCATGGGATGGGAATTTGCCAATTCACCAGTTCACTGGTGAGTGTTAGGCAACCGGGACTCCATTTCATTAACTCCTTAGCAGCGCTTGGCACAGAAACTTAAGCAGAAATCAGGAATGATGATGAATTGACCTGCGTGAAAGCCATCCATGGTCCTTGCCTCAAAGATTAAGTCAGTGATATAGTCACTTGTATTTGAACCCAGTACCAACAACAGCTAGGAAAGCCCTCTCCATGTTACACTTTTGTAACCAAGTTAGCAGAAGCACTCTTAAAATCATAGGGTCAGGCTTTGCTGTCTCCATATAGGCAACTCTGTTTGATTATTCCTGTTTGTGTATTTTCTACATCCTGATTTGTAAGCCCAGGAACCCCTCAAATTAAACTAAGCAAAATCTTTTTCATATAGGTATGCAAATGAAAGTGTAGTAGGTTTAGTAATGCCAGTAGAGTCAAGTAAATTGAACTGTGTTTTGATCCAGTGCCTTTCAAGCACACCTGTCATCTGAACTCTAAAGCACTCTTACATACTCTAATATTAGGGTTTACCTGATAAGCCTTATTAAAAAAAAAAAAAAAAAAAAAAAGGAAAAATATTTTCTTCCTAGAAACAAAGTGGAAAAAAATAATCAAAGCCACTAATTCATCCAGAATCTTTTAAGGCCTCGGGAACAAGAAACACGGAGGAAATTCATGTCAGCAGTGCCAAAAATGTTGTTTGGAAAGCATGCTTTTGATCCTCTCAATTAATGTTCCATTGTTACAAGACATGAATGAAACCAAGTGTTGTTACATTGAAGAAAATGCAGATCAGCAATATCCTTGGGCATAGGGATTCATGTGAGAGAGGTATTTCTGCAGTTCAGTTTTTACTGGCTCAATGATTTTTCTGGCCACTAAACGGATCTAGTTTTGAAAAAGTGCTAAGTACACAAATACTGATTCTTTGAAAATTCCTTTTAACAGAGTTAGGCAAAACTCTGTACTTAAGTCAATGTGATTTCTGATATAATTAAAAAATAAGTCAGCGATACAGGGCTCTCTCTACCTTCGCTATATTTCCCTAAAAGTCACTTTATGATAACACATGTAAAAATCCCACAAAGTAACATCCTTCCAGTTTGGCAGGAAAAAAAGCCATCACTCAGGTTTGTTAAGAAGGAACTATGAACTGATTCCTGAATAATGGGGATAGACGGGGATCCTGCACAGCCAGCAATCAGTCATGTTCCATTTTGTGTAGAAGCAAGGCTGACACTGATGTTTTGATGGCATTGCCATTGTAAAATGGTAGTCTTAAGTGGTCAGTTTTTCCTAAAATACTATTTCGGAAGACTGAAATTACTATGTGGGATTTTAACTAAGGAGAAATTCTTGTAGTTTGACAATATCTACAAAATATTCTTGACTTATTCAGAAAAAAACTCAAATCACTGTACTGGCTAAAATTAGTGTAAAGATAATTGAAGATTTCAACCTTCTCTCCTAGCTTTTCCAGAAGGCAAATTTTTGCACCTGTTATTTTTCAAATTAATCAAAATAGGCATTTTGTGCCTATTCAAAAGACACTATGATTTAAAAGAACTCTTCAGTTTTGTAGGTGAAATATATGAAATTGAATTCCACACTAGTCAGCCAAACACTGAAAAACACATTCCAGCTGCATTCAGTGTGAAAGCAAACACATCAATGCTCACTTCATCGATCCTGTATTTACCAAAAGCCATAAAGCACAAAAATTACTTCTTTTTTCCCCTGCAGAGCTTCCTTGGGGTTTCCAATAAAACTGATACCTAAACAGCATGACCTACAAAATGTTTATTCTTGGTGTTAATGGAGATGTCAGCTTTATTATCTGTTTATAGTGAAAACAATGAAAGAAATCATACTTTCCTAAGGAGAGTTTAACAGCCCACGTTAAGTGGTTACTAAATCCATGATCCAAATGTCATTTATGCCAATGGGAAGCTTTCCTCTGATTTCAGTTGATGATTACTTCAGCCTATCTATGATTTAGATTAAGCTATAAGATGCCTCAAGGGAACAATCTGTTCCGAGGTGGCTCAGCTGGAATGAGCTATTGCAGGTATCTCGGCTGTAAGACATCCCTCTCAGAGACTGCTCATGCTCCATCCTAAACCTCACTCCATTGTTTTATTTATTGTTCTCTACCAGAACTTCTCTCCGCTGATGGTATCGCTGCAGTCGCAGAAGTCGATTTCCTCTTATGACGCAGCACCAACACTCTCCACATGAGTGATACCTATTGAAATAAAATGCCATTTTGCTTTTTAACTTCTGAAGTCCTTTACAAGAGGTAGGTGAGAAATCCACCTTTTCAGTAGCAGAGTAGTAAAATGGCAGCTATTCAAAAGGCTGAAACCTGAGTCAGCCCAGCCACGTGAGAGGCTGCACTTGGTCTGTCAAACACACATACATAATACCTTTCCAAATTCCTCTTACAGTGAACAACATAGCCTTTATTAATTTCACACATGTGTTCTGTAAGCAAAACTACTGCGTGCCTCCAGCAGTGCTGAAGCCTGAGTAAGGGCAGAAGCTCTTTCCAATTTTCATAGAATCAATCATAGAATCATAGAATATCCTGAGTTGAAAGGGACTCAGGAGGATAATCAAATCATAGAGTCATAGAATAGTTTGGGTTGGAATTGACCTTTAAAGGCCATCTAGTCCCATCCCCCTACAATGAGCAGGGACATCTTCAAGCACATCAGATTGCTCAGAGCACTGACCAACCTGACCTTGAATCTTTCCAGGCATGGGGCTCTTAACACCTCTCAAGGCAACCTTTCTTATAGGCCACCTTTAGGTACTGCTCTAAGGTCTTCCTGGAGCTTTCTCTTCTCCATGCTGAACAGTTCCAATTCTCTCAGCCTTTCCTCACAGGAGAGGTGTTTCAATCTAATCATCTTCATGGCTCTCCTCTGGGCCCAGTCCAACAGGTTTATGTCCTTTCCATACAGAGGACCCCAGAGCTGGACACAGAACTTCATGTGGAGTCTCACCAGAGGAGAGCAGAGGGGCAGAATCACCTCCCTCGACATGCTGGCCACA